GTCATCACAGAGTGCAGGACACATGGCAATGAGCTCAAGATACAGTAAGCCAGATTTCAGTTGAATATCAGGAAAAAACTTCCTGTTAGAGCAGTATGGCAATGGAACCAATTATCTTGAGAGGTGTTGAGTGCTCTAACACTGGAGGCATTCAAGAGCAATTTAGACAACCACCTGGCAGATATCCTTTGGTCTGTATTCCTGCATTGAGCAGAGGGTTGGACTCAATGGCCTTATATATTTATTTCTATTTATTTATTCAATTTGTATCCCACTGCCATTAGAGCAAAGGCACAACGCTGGGCGATTACAACACATATAATAGAAAACAAAAATAAAGATAAGAACATTAAAAGCAACAAGAATAACCCTAAAAACAGATGGCACCAACTGATTGTATAAACCCAGAACAGATGGAGGAAAGGGCAAGAGGAGAAGAAGGGGGAAAGGGGGGAAGGTGGTCAGCTAGGATCAATATGGAAAGCTTCCCTGAAAAGCAATGTCTTTAATTGCTTCCTAAATGTCAACAAGGAGGGGGCTAGACAGAGCTCCTCTGGAGGCAAGCTCCATAAATTTGGAGCCACCATGAAGAAGTCCCTACCTCTTGTAGAGGGTTTATGGGCCTCCTTGGTATGGCCATTCAAAGGAACCTCAACTGGAATAATCTTGTGAGTCAATCAGATGACATTAAGGAAAGACACTTGGACAAGTAGCATTAGCCAAAACCTTGGAGGGCTTTGTATGTGAGTATCAAAACCTTGAACCTGATCTGGGATGCAACAGGCAACCAGTGGAGGTGAGCCAGAATGATGGAGTGATGGGTCAAATTTACTAGTACCCATCACAAGTCTGACTCCTGCATTCTCGACCTGCTGAAGTATCTGGAGCAGACTCAAAAGAACCCCTATGCAGAGAGTGTTGCAGTAGTCAATCCAGGAGATGGCCAGGGTCTGTGCTAAAGTGCAGACAGAGTCCTCGTCTATGTAGTGGCAAAGTTAGGTGATTAGCCTAAGCTGGTTAAAGGCTGATCTGGACACAGCTACAATCTGGGACTCCCAAGAAAGAGCCAGGTCCAGAAGAATGGCTTAATTATGAACTTGGTCCCTAAACTGGAGAGGAATACCATCCAGCCTATGGACCATCCCTAAATACCTATCAGAGATTTCCCGCAGGAGCAAAATCTCTGTTTTGTCCAAGTTCAGTTTGAGCCTATTAGCCCTGGTCTATTCCAGTACTGAAACCAGGCAACACTCAAGCATCTGGACAGCATTTGCAGTCCTGCAGAAGTGGTAAGGGATAGAGCTGTGTGTCAGCAGTGTACTGAAGACACCTTACTCCAGATCTCCTGATGACCTCCCCCAATGGCTTAACATAGATGTTGAACAGCATCGTAAATAATTCTGATCCTTGAGAAACCCCATACTGAAGGGTCCAAGGTGCCAACACCTCTTCCCCTAGCTAAACTTTCTGGACACAGTCCTCTTGGAAGGAATCAGAGCCAGCTCAATGCTAAGCCCCCAAGCCCAACCTCAGAGAGCCTGTCTAGGAGGATACCATGGTTGACAGTATCAAAAGCCTCTGAGAGATCTAGGAATACCAACAGAGTGCATCCGCCCCTGTCAGCCTCCTTAAAGGAAGTCATGCTGCGGGCCATCCTGCAGTTCAGACAGTGTTGTCTCAGTACCCCCTCACGGCCTGAATCCAGACTGGAATGGGTCAAGGCAGTCCTGCTCCTCCAGGTATGACTGCAACTGATTTGCCTCTCTCAATAACCTTGCCCAGGAATTGCATATTAGTGTTTGATGGAAACTGCTAAGGTTGTCTGATGCTAACTGGGGGGCCCTTCCAACTTCATGATTCCAAAAGTAAAACTTTAATTCTGAAAATATTAAGAGGCTCAGTCTAAAATGTAAACAGACACACACACACATATGAGAAAAAGTCTTCTAAGTTCTTCCCCTTTGCCTCTTGAGCAGTTGCCCACAATGAAAAATGATCCCTTACCCCAGAGCCATTGCCAGGCTCTGCTTTAATAGGGCAGATTTACAGCTTAATCCAATTTTCCACGCACACTTTCTGCAGAACTGAAGGATACAGATTGAAAGTACAATACTATGAGCATGTACAGTCATGGCGAAAAATATTGGCACCCTTGCAATTCTCTGAGAAAATGCAACCTTTTCCTCAGAAAGTTGTTGCAGTTGCAAATGTTTTGGTACTCACATGTTCGTTTCTTTGGTTTGCATTGGAAGAACACACACGCACACACACACACACACACACACACACACACACACACACACACACACAACAGAGAAGAAAAGTCAAATCTGATACAATCCCACACAGAGACCCAAAAATGTAGTGGCCAAAATTATTGGCACCCTTAACTTAATAGTTGGTCACACCCCAACTGAAAAAATAACTGGAAAAAATAACTGAAATCAATCGCTTCCTATAAGTAACCATGAATGAGCTTCTTACACCTCTTTCCTGGTATTTTGGACCATCTTCTTTTGCAGACTGCTCCAGGGCCTTCAGATTTGAAGGATGCCTTCTCCAAACTGCTGTTTTGAAATCTCTCCACAGGTGTACCATGGGATTCAGATCTGGACTCATTGCTGGCCATTTCAGAACTCTCCAGCGCCTTGCTTGTAACCATTTCTGAGTCCTTTTTTTGGGTCACTGTCATGTTGGAAGACCCATGACCTGTGATGGAGAAGCAGCTTTCTGACACTGGTCACTACGTTGCACCCCAAAAATCTTTGGTAATCATCAGATTTCATGATACCGTTCACACGGTCAAGGCATCCAGTGTCACAAGCAGCAAAACAACCCCAAAACATCTTCAAACCTCCACCATGTTTGACTGTAGGGACTGTGTTCTTTTCTTTGAATGCCTCAATTCTTTTTCTGTAAACAGTGCCTTATGTCCTTTACCAAAAAGCTCTAATTTTGTTTCATTTGTCCACAGTATGCTCTCTCAGAAGGATTGTGATTTTGTCACATAGGTTTTGGCATACTCCAGTCTTGCTTTTTTATGACTTTGTGTCAGCAGTGGTGTCTCCTTCCATTTCCTTTTCATTCAGATGGTGACAGACAGTGTGAGCTGACACTGTTGTACCCTGTGCCTGCAGGTCAGCTTGATTTTGTTGGGAAGTTAATCTGGGTTCTGTATCCACCATTCGAACAACCCTTCATTGTAATTTTTCAGTAATTTGGCTCTTCCATCCATGTCCAGGTAAGTTAGGTACAGTGCCATGGGCTGTAAACCTCTTGATGATATTGCACACAGTAGACACAGGAACATTAAGATCTCTGGAGATGGACTTGTAGCCTTGAGATTGTTGATGTTTTCCCACAATTTTTTCTCTCAAATCCACAGGCAACTCTTTACGCTTCATTCTTTTATCCATGCTCAGTGTCACACACAACACAAAGGTTGAGTCAGCCTTTCTCCCTCTTAACTGGTTGCAAGTGGGATTACTATATTGCCCACGGCTCTTACTTGTGACAGGTGTGTCTAAATATAAATTAAAGGAGTATCACATGCTTGAAAAGCAATTATTTCTTACAATTTAGACAGGGTGCCAATAATTTTGGCCAGTGCATTTTTTTGGTTTCTGTGTGGGATTTTATCAGATTTGACTTTTCTTCTCTGTTGTTGTTGTTGCTTTATCTTCTTTTTTGGTGTTGTTCCAATGCAAACCAAAGAAATGAACATGTGAGTACCAAAGCATTTGCAACTGCAACAATTTTCTGAAAGAAGGGTTGAATTTTCTGACAGAATTGCAAGCGTGACAATATTTTTGGCCATGACTGTAGTTCTACTGACTCCAATGGGACTACTTCATGATCCCAGGGGAACTGACAGGAGCCTTAAGAAGACTTCTCATTTCTGGAATGAACCAGTAAAGTGTTGTGGACAGAGTATCAGACTAGAATTCAGCAGACCTGGACACAGATCCCTGAAATTCCCAGAAAGGTGGCAATGAGTAACCACTCCTTGAACATCTCACACACCTTGAAAATTAGGGTTGCCATAACTGAGATGTGACTTAGCAGGACATAACAACAACAAAAACAAAAACAACTATAAAGAGAGATAAACTCAAAGTTCTCTGGGCCAGAATTAGTTTTTATCTCATTTATCAATGGCTGGCCTGTTTCTGCCCACAATGATTGGCAAATGAAGAAGGGTTGTGGTGTGATTTGTATATTTTCCTATTTTGCCATGCTGTGTCTCATCAGCAGATGTGATCAGGAAGCCCATGAAAGACAGAACACATATGTTTTTTTTTTGGGGGGGGGAATAATATTACTTTGTCTAGTGGAAATTGTCCTTGAAACGCCTCTTTCAAAATCTAGTGTTTTCTTGGGAGAATAATTGATTGTCCTTAAAAAGAATCATATCCCGTGCAAAACAAAGCAAAACAAAACACAAAACTAAATGAAAATGAAACAACAAAAGAGAAGAGATTTGAGGGTGGGAGCAGGACAACATAACACTATTTGAAATGTAATGGTTTCTTTGACTATGTATCCTCTTCTATATAGTGTTATTGTACAGCAGGATTAAAAAGAGGTAAACTTGTATCTCTGAGTGATTGATAGTAGATGTGCAAAGATTACTCATTCCTAAAAATAATTCCATACACACCCCCAATTACACTGTTGTAGTAAAGAAAGCACACTAGTTTCATTCAGCATTTGAAGGATCCAGGACTCAGCTGGCACCTAGAAATGTTATCTGAGCGTGAAATCAGATGGCTGCAAAGGTGCATGCCTGATCACACCAGAAAGGACCTCTTTAGTGGGAGTGATCTCCCTTAAATTGGTTCTTCTGTCTGCCAGGGAATTGCTTCAGCCTGCCCTCTAAAGGAAGAGGTTATGCAGCTGAAAAAGGTCCCACTTGGGCATGGATCAGGGTCAGGCTGGAGCACATTTCCCCAGGTGTTGTGGGGAAGAGATTGCAACAGTATGCTTGACAAGTGGTCCAAAGGGTGATATATTTCATCATGGGATTGTACTCAGATGGTTTCGCTGCTCATTTCCCTTTCCCCATTGGGGAAGGAGGTGGAGAAAAGCCAGCCACTCTCAGCTGGTGTCTGCCGATTCCAGCTCAGTTTCAAGATGGGTGCTTAGCTGCTACCTGCATGCACTGATGGAAAGTGTTTCCTCCTCCATCCTATGGGCAAGGAAGAGAGAGTAGGTGAAATGCTAGCTGCTCTCAGCACCAGCTGCTAGTGCCATGTAGAGTCCTAAGATGAGAACTCACCCAATACCTGCTAACATGAGCAAAGAATAGCTCCTTCTTCCAGACACTTCCTGATACAGAAGATGGAGAAAGGACACTGGACTCTTGCCAACCATGCCAGATATAGATGTTCTGCCCAGAACATCAGCACGGGTTTCATAATGTCAGGAGACATGGCCCTACTACTTCGATGGATGTGGATCAAGATTAATTTCAAACTTCTGGCTGCCTTTGGACATATGGTAAAATGTCTACCAGGAAAAACAAGAAACAGCAGTTATGTAATACTTTATGTAGCTTAAAGCACATCTCTTGTGTACTGTACTATGATTTGAAGGGGAAAGAGATAAGGTTAAATCAAAATACAGGAGCCAGACAGAACAGAAAGCAAAGAACCAATGATAAACTGAATAAAATGGCAAATTGGTTAGTTTGAGAGAACACTATTGGCCTCTGACATTTGTCTTTCAAGTTCACAACATATAGAGAATTCATTGTGAGCTCTCACCTGGCATCTGAAAGTAAATACAATGGACATTGCAAGTGATGTAGATGTGAAAAAAAAAAGAAACTTGAATGACACCTACCTATCCACAAAGGAACAAAACTCAATTCATTAACAGATTTGCCTACTAATTTTAATTTGTGCCTGCTAGCAATATCAATATAAGTAAGAAAACTTTTGCATTGTTCACTCTTCTGGATTCCAAAGGTACCTCTTTAATACTTAATGCATGCTTTAAAAAAGGCACTCTGATAATGGAAATTTGAAGGAAAGCTTATCAATGCCATGACAATGCTTTTAACTTATGTGTTGTTTTTTAATGCTTACATACATTATTTTACATATATTCCACTTTCAATGTGATTCTTACAATAGATTATTCTTTATTTTTCATGGATGTCTCACATCTCACTGTTGACATTTTTCTCCTTATCTACACCAATGTTTCTCTCCATTCGGTCCAAGCCAAATATCAAGAATCAGTGCTCTAAACCAGTGGTCCCCAACCTTGGGCCTCCAGATGTTCTTGGATTACAACTCCCAGAGGTCTTCACTACTACCTCTGCTGGACAGGATTTCTGGGAGTTGAAGTCAAAGAACATCTGGAGGCCCAAGGTTGGGGACCACTGCTCTAAACCCTTGTGTTTTTATGCCTTCAAACTGTTTGAAGTGATTGAGTGTAACTCATCTTACACTCAAGAGGATGCATGTCTTTCCACAGGATAGAAAAAGGACTTCTCTAGGTTTCCTAGAATGCCCTTTACCTGTTTTGACTTGTGTTGACCTTACTTCAAACTTAGATTGCTATTCTTAGGATTTCTGATGTCACTTCCTTCCTTCTCACACCTTTTTCTTGTTCCTCCAAGAATCAAAAATATTTCCTTTGCTCCCTAGACATTGAAAGAGGCAGCCATGGCTTGCGAGTTTGACATCTTCAGCTTATTTCAGTGTTCCTCAACCTTGGGCCTCCAGATGTTCTTGGACTACAACTCTCAGAAGCCTTCACCACCACCTCTGCTGGCTAGGATTTCTGGGAGTTGAAGTCCAAGAACATCTGGAGGCCCAAGGTTGAGGACCAATGGCTTATTTAGCTTGAACTAAGATTCGTATCATCTTTCATATCCCAAGTTTACCTCTCTGATAACATAGTTCCCTCGCTGGAAATGCCCCAAACAGTCATATGCCATCTCCACAGAGAGGAAACATCATGCAATTAAGTAGCTTTATCACTGGCTCTTCTCTGATAACCTTCACGTTTCCATGTTACCAGCACAGCATGAAGGCAGTGGCCCAAAGACTTATTCAGGTTTTGGTCTGAGAGACAAACAAGAGTAGGTGATATGAAATTCATGATGCTAGTCATAACATCTTCTGCAGGATGTGTGCTTCAGCCAAAATCAAAAGCATCCTGAATGACTTGCACTTACTGCTCAACAGGACCAAAAAAACACAAAAACCCCAACAAAAAACCAGCACCCTTTCGTGTTTACAAATTAGTAATTCTGATTCTCCTAGGGAGCAATAATGAATTGCTCAGCTTCCTGGATGTCATCACTATAGCAACTGAAGCATATATCAAGCACGTCACCCAGTCAAAATGATTCCATGCATGTGACTCCCTTCTCACATTCCCTCCTTTGCCTGGGTCTTACTCACAGCAACCAGTGTAACTCCTTCACTCCATCTTGGAGACTCGTTGTTCCTAAAAAATGGAAATTACTTTTTGACAAGAAGCCTGCAGCATAAGATTCGGCTGGTTCATTCAATCCAATGTTTAATTCCCTCCCCCTTCCAATGTTGTCCTACTTCCTTAATCCTCACTCCACCTCCAGTTTCTTGGCAGCATCCCTAATACTTTTATCTCTGCCACCCCAATCCTCACACCATAGCATCTACTTCCTCTAAACCTAATGTATTGATATTTCTTCAAATCCTCTCACAAATATGGGTATTCTAGCCACCGTTGCTTGTCCTTTTTTGCCCTTGTTCTAAAGCCTTGTTTGCCACACCTACACATCTTTCAAGCTCAGTTCCAGAATTATGCTTACTCCATACCTTCGCTCTACCCATCTTACATCTGAATATTTGATCTCCCTGCCCATACACAAAGCACTGCTGGCTACTTCATTGTCCTGTATCTATCCCACTATCTATGTGCCTATCAAAGCTCCAGAAGCATAGGAAGTTGTTTTTCTTTCTTTACTGTTATGTGGTCACAGACCTGAGTTAAAGAAAGTTATTCTTTAAAAGTAATAAGCTGTAGCTCCAAGCCTTAAATAATTCATTCTTGTTGCATTTCCAGTTTTTATGAAGAGACTGTTTACTTTCCTGTTTCCTACTAGTTACTTTTAAAAAACACACACCTCGGAATGCTACAAGGTGCTGGTATGTTATACACAACACACACCTCACCCATCCATATTTTCATCACTTCAACATTCAGACTAAAGCATGTTGCAGCATCATGAGGCAACACAGAATCTGTGAGGTATTCTTCTCTATCTTTTAGTGAAGTCACAATCCAGCAGCTACAGTAAGTAAAAAGTTTGCAAACATACCTCTTTAGATTATAGTCAGAAATGGAAAAATGTACAAGGAAAATGGTTGGCTCTTTAGTTAATTATTGGTGAGCTAAAAATTCAGTTTCAGTTGTGCTGGAGAGGCAAATTCTATTTAAGTTAGGGTATGATCACACAGGAAAACAGATAACATTTTGGATGGCTTGTGGAGCAATTAAGTGTGATCTTTTTCCTGGCAATCACACAATGTACAAGGAATTGTGCTCCAGTCCAACTCTGTGCTCAAGCTGGACTTTTTTTTCTCCAGCTGTAGGGCTACTTCTTTTGGAGGGCAGCTTGGAGGAATTTCCTGGCAGACAAATGGGTCACTTTAAGGGAGATCACTCCCTGCAAACAGACCCTTTCTGACATTGTTGGATGTGCTCCTTTCCAACTATCTGATCACATCCCTAGATTACTCCGACTGTACCATAAACAAGTAGAAAAATCCATCCTGGAAATCAGGCTGGGCCTTAGTTGGAGAGGCTTCATGGGCACAGCAGCTTCTTCGTTTTCATGCTGTCATTTGTACATTTTGAAAGGGAGAGGTATGGAGCTAGTGCGCACCCATCAGTATGTATAGTTGCGGCACATTAAACTAAATAACTGAAAAGGGCACCCTTTAATGTGTGCCATCAAGTCAATTCTGCTGTATGACAACCTTTTTCAGGATTTTTTTTAAAAAAAGACAGACAGTATTCAGAAATGGTGTACCTGTCTCTTCTTCTGTGGACATCCTGAGACTGTGCAGCTTGCCCACAGCTACACAGGCTGGCTCTTCTGGGATCCACAGGAGGAATCACACTCCCCACCCCTGGCTCTGCAGCTATCCAGCCAGACAGCTCTTTAGATACCATGGTGTATGTCTAGAATTGTGGTGAGCATTGTAATAGAACAGAATTTAGTTCAAATTAGCAGTATGCACTGTCTTCAGATAAATGCAAAAACTGGAACCAATCAAGGATGTTTTTGGGTTTCCAGGGTGATAACAGGATGAACCAAAGAGCCCATAAGCACTCACAGGGAAGAGCAGCAAACCGTATGGATATTCCACATTTCTACCTTGGCTATTGAGATGTCACAACTTTTTTTTGTGCTGGCCAAAAGGAAAAGAATAGCTTTCACTGCACTGGAGAGGATTTCAGGATGCTAATGAAATGTGTTCTACACTTGCACGTTAACAGCACCATGACAAAAGGAAAAAAAATAAGTTTTGCAATAGCCTCATTTAGTGCTAGGTTGGATGTAATGTATTAAAAAAACATTTTTTGGGCTCTTTGGCTGTGTTCTGACCACCATGACAAAAGGAAACAAAATAAGTTTTGCAATAGCCTCATTTAGCGCTGGGTTGGATGTAATGTATTTTTTTAAAAAAACAACAGCCAGACACATGCAGCAGACAAAGAAATACTGCATTGTTGTTGTGGGCTTTTTGGGCTCTTTGGCTGTGTTCCGAAGGTTTACTTCCTGATGTTTCACCAGTCTCTGTGGCCGGCATCTTCAGAGGACTGGAGTAGGAACTCTGTCCATGCTCTCTTGCTGTTTGTTGGATAGTGGGTATTTATAGCTGTGGGAACAGCTTTTGTGATAGCTATTCAAATTGAGAACATGGCCAAAGAACCTGAAAAACCCACAACAACCATCCGATCCCGGCTGTGAAAGCCTTCAAGAATACATTAACTACTGCATTGATTGTTATTGTTTAGTTTTGGAACTGGACTGTAGAAATTAAATGTTTTCACAAGTTTGACCCCATAGAAAAAACTAGGTGTGTAGTGAGGACAGTGGCAGGGTGGGAAAGAGAAAAGAAATGGGCAGAAAACACAGCAGAAGAAAAGGGGGGCACTATGGGCCACTATGTAAACATGTTGCTATTTGCATCTACTGGGTGGACAGGTATCATAGCATCCAGGAATTCTTCACCATGGACATATGGATATGCAGAGCAATCACTATCTGCACTAACCATGAGGATACTTAACCTTAGCAATTCAATTAGTGGAAAGGAATTGAATTATCTAGTCATTTGTTACTATTTTCCAGTTCTATGAAGGTCTGTTCCCTGTGGGCTACCTGCTCCCTTACAAATAATCCATAACATAAAACTAGGATGTACATTGTATAAAGAACTTATAAAGGAAACAAATGGCTAAGATTAAAATATATGGAGAATTAACTAATGAGGTAGAAATTAATAGAGGTGTCCATGAGGGATGTATCTTGTTGCCAAATTTGTTTCTACCATGTTTCCCTGAAAATAAGGCAGGGTCTTATACTGATTTTTGCTCAAAAAAACGCATTAGGGCTTATTTTCAAGGGATTTTTTTTTTCATGTACAACCATCCATGTTTATTCAAAGACAGTCATGTCACGTTCTTCTGGTTGCTGCACAGTGGTAGAGGGTGGGGTTTCACAACTGGGGCTTATTTTCAGGGTAGGGCTTATTTCCAGGGAAACAGGATATATATTCAGAGAAGGTTATGAAAAATGCTCCTCCATTTAATCTGAGGGCATTGAAAGTAAATGTTGTACTCTTAAATAATATGAGAGAAGGTTAGGAAAAATGCTCCTCCATTTAATTTGAGGGCATTGAAGTAAATGTTGTACTCTTAAATAATATGAGACTGCAGAAGCCACAGACACAGTCTTGGGAGCTGGATGTAGAAGTGAAATTCAAATCCATCGCAGGTTACAAGCCATGATGGGGATGTATAATCTCCAGGCTTAGAAGGAAGGTGCTGCCAAATGCAAGATGCAGGGGAGGGGTATCAGGAGACAGGCATCTAGTTGTCTCATGTGCCCCCAGAGGCATCTGGTGGGGCCACTGTGAGATACAGGAAGCTGGACTAGAAAGGCCCTTGGCCTGATCCAGCAGAGCTCTTCTTATGTTCTTAAATACTATTAGTTTGAGACACAGAAGGAAGTAACAACATGGGGCACTAAATCAATACTAATCCCCCCCCCAAAAAAAAACCATATGTACACTAAGTGGACAAATACATGTACCTGGGATATTTAATTAGCAACCACATAGACTGCAATGTGGAGATAAAGCAAGGATTGGGATAGGTAGAACAACTTTTATGAAGTTGAAGAAAATGCTGTATAACAAACAGCTTAATATGTCTTTGAGACTGAGAATTCAAGTTTACATACTGTCAGCCCTTCTCTATATGTGAGTTTTGGGTCACTAAGAAGATGCTCCATAGAATAAATGTTTTTGAAATGTGGATGCACATCCCATGGTATGATACTGTAGAATAAAGCATAAAGATGTACATCATTGGATATGGAAACAAAAAAAAAATAAGAGTCTGCTATTAAGCAGTGCATGATCTCAGATCTTGGACACACAATTCGTCATGAGAAATATAATATACTACAATACATCATAGAAGGGATGTATGTGTGAGAGAGGTAGAGATAGCCCATGATGGTACCAACCTCAGCAACTGAGACAGTAGGCAGAGGGAAGTCCAACAACTTCGTAGGAACCAGATTTGGGCTTCCTAGCAATACAGAACCTAGGCATGTACAAGTGCATAAGGATAATCATTCAGAGAGGACTCTTTCAGATATTCTGTTGAAACAAATAAAGGCTGTTCAAACGAGTGCTGCTACTGACGTGTGAGGACAAAGTTGGCATAAAGGTGCTGTATCAACTGGCCTGCTTCTCGGACTTCATCACCAAAAGCTCAATACAACGTGTTAAGACCAGATGGAAGACTCCTCCAGACACCACATTTTCTCTGAAGTATGCCTGATTAGTCACTCGCGTTATTGGTATTTTTTCTCACCTTTCAGACAAGGCAAGGCTCACCTTAGAACACGAAAGATCAGGGATAATTCCTCGGATTGGGATTTTTGGAATTCAAGAATACCCAGTGTCACAATTCAGTGGGACCTCCCCAGGCCAACGTCAGAGGAGTGACAGCCCCTTCACCTCCATGCCACTCCCGTGCAGCTTCTGTGGGAGTGATTAGGATTCCCTGTGTTACATACAGCTATGACATCACCTGCCCGTCACTGCTGAAGCTCTGTGTCATCTACCAATGGCGTGACGGTGGGACATAAGGGGTGGAGCTGTCGTATATAAGGGGAGTGAATGGTGTGAGGGTTTCAGATAGGGCCAGATAGGGCTTTGAGATAGGGTTGAGATAGGGAGTTAGGGACGGTTAGGGCTTGGAGATACTGAGAGATAAGAACTGTGCTACATAGTGAGGGTCAGTGACAGTGTGTGTGTGATTGTTATATTATTATAGTGATTAAAGTATTATTTCTATTCAAGTGATTTACCATTCCTTTTGTTTGTATACAATAAACCTAAGTTTTTATTTTGAAATCATACTTTGGCCTGAAGCTTTATTTGAGGGAATGGTTGGTGGCAGTGGAAATGAAGAGTAATTGAATGTGACGTAACGGCCCCTTTGTGAGGTATAAGGTGGCTGTTACACCCTGCAACTTGCAAAGGTGCCCCGGGGGAACATGTTCCAACCGAGGCTGCTTTCAGAGTAGTTGGAGGCAGCCTCAAATCACTTTGTAAGCTTTCTCATTCCCTTCCAGAAGGTATGGCTTATTGGATTCCTAGAAGAGGGAGTGGAGTTTATCACTACGGCAAGTGATTGCTGCTCCTACAGATCTTTACTCTGCCTTGCAAATTTTTAAGAGCATCGTTCCTTCTATTTGTTTCCCCACCTGTACCTGAAAGCCCAACCTGTCAGTTCACTCGTCATTCACTACTTCTCGCCAGCTGTGTGGCAGGACTACAGATCTGGTAACAGAACACAGCAGCCAGCACAAGGGCCAGCTGAAGAAGCAGAAACTGCAGGCACTCCACCTGCTTTCAAATACTTTTAAAAAACCACCCTCATATATACTCTTCAATACACAGCTTCCTAACATTTCAGACTTTGTTCTTGTCTCTTGCTTGCTGTCTGAGGTGAGAAACCCAGCTGCTTTTTAAATAAGTGTCTTTAGGGAGAGGTTTGGATGGTGATCTGGTTATGCCCTATGATTGTTCACTTACCAAGCAAGTGAAAGGAGGAGAAAGGAGGTTTTCCTCCATCTGGAAGGTTGCTTTGTCATGGTTAGAACAGTCTCATTAAAATCAGTCAAATTAACTGATGGATTTAACTAATTAATTCAGGCATTATGTCTCCATCTAAATACGTGTGTGAGTGTGTGGCTATATATATTTAGGTACAGAGAGAGAGAGAGAGAGAGAGTCCTCCTATTATAGACGGTCCCTTCAGGATTGATTGATTGATTGATTGATTTCTCTCTCTCTCTCTCCTTCAGGATTTCAAAGCTGTAAAAATGTATTTTAAAAATCAAGTGCAATTGGCAAGAGGTATATGTTGGAGATTTCTCATTCATAGGGTTGCCATAAGTCAAGGGTGACTTGATGGCAGATAACAACGATATATGTTTGAAATCAAACTCATTTTTCTGATCCCATATTTTTGTTCCAAGCCTTTGTCACACTTTACAGAAAATACCTAAGAGGATATCACTGTCACGTAACTCACATGCAATATTGTAAAGTGCATGTATTTTCATTTTATCTTCTACAATCCCCCCAGGATCCAAAACTATTTCAAAGAAGAGAAAATGCAGGTCTGTAAGTGCAGAGCTTTCCCACAGCTGACGTAGTACAATGGTCTCCAGTTGCTATAGTAACTGTCCATAGCTATGGTAACTACAGTATTTCAGAAAAAGTTGACATTTGATAGCTCTAGTCCGAAATACAGAATTTATTGAAAACAATTCCCTTTCAGATACAATTCTTTAGCCCTGGCTTACAGTGCATCGCACAAGGTGACTTGCCCTCTGAGTAAGTTTTTCATTATTGCCACATGAGAGTGCAGCAATGACCTTGTGCTGGTGGACCAAATCAACATTCTCTAAGGCAATTATAAAAATAGGGGCAGTCCAAATTAAACAAGACCAACATTTAAACAGGGCTGCAGGTCAGCACCAGATTTGGCACAGTTGTAGCAGACAAAAAGAAGAGAGGCAACACAATGAGGGAAGAAGTGTGGGTTGAAAAGAAAAACAGTGAAGGCACTAAGAGGTGGCTATCACAGTGAACATCAAGTCCCATAAAGGTCCTGAGGTAACATTTCCTGAGGAAAGAATAGAAGATTACCAATCTGCATTTGTGGATGCCTAAGTGTTAGAACTGGAGAAGTACAGTGGAACCTCTACTTACAAACTTAATCCATCCCAGAAGATGTTTGTTAGTTGAAACGTTGGTAAGTAGAAGCAAAATTTCCCATAGGAATGCACTGAAAACCGATTAATCCATTCCTGCTATTTTTGGTTCTTATCTAGAGGCTTTGCTATGGGAACTAATGCTTCAACATTAGTACGTTGAAGCATTAGTTCCCGTAGCAAAGCTGGTTAATCCGTCCTCTACCACTAGGGGGAGAATGTTTCTTCTTTTGATCTAAGATGAACTTAGGTCAAAAAAGGGCAGGAAAGGAGGGAGGAGGGAGGGAACACCTTCTAAACACAACACCTTTAAAAACAAGCACCTTTTAGGTTAAAAAAAGGCAGGAGAACACCTTTTAAACAGAACACCTTTTAAAAAGCCACAGAATCCAGCAAGTATTATTCCAGCACAGAACCCCTCATCACAAAAAGAGTGTCTAAACTGCATTTTACAGTCTCCCTGCATCAACAGCCAGCACAGCCCCTCACAGAATATTTTCTGATTTTAAGGAAAAAAAGACTGTGGGGTCTAAACAAGAAGGGGAGGTAGAGACTTGTGTCTAAACTCCATTGTAAAGCCTGCCTACCTGGCTGCCTGCATCTACAACCACCACAGCCCTTCACAGAATATTTTCTGATTTTAAAACAGACTTTAGAGCCACATTTTAACCACACACATTTTAAAACTAAAGTCTACACTGCAAGACCCATCAGAGCACAGAAACATAACCCCCACCTAGCCCTACCACCTCCAAGCTGCAAAAAACCCTGTACAGTACAATAAATACAGTGTACTCACCCAGAACAGGCAGTCTCTCTGTTTTAAAAAAAAGCAAAAATCAAAAAATCAAAAATTAAAAAAAGCCAAAAAATACAGTCCGTACAGTACAGTACCAGTCAGTACCAGGCAATACCAGGCAGTACCAGGCAGTCTGAAGGCTCTCTCCCTATCCACTCTCTAACTGCTTGGACGAGCGAGGTAGCAGAAAAGCACCTTCTTCATTGGCCAACAGTTAACTGAAGGTTCAAATTTTGCGCTTTCCCTGCCTCCCCACATTTTTTTCATTTGCATGTTGAAGCTCCATTTGCAAGTAGAAACAAAATTTTGTGAATGGACTGTTTCTAAGTTGAAATGTTCGTATTTAGGAACGTTTGTAAGTAGAGGTTCCACTGTAATGCAGCAGTCTGAGATGTCCAGCTAAGTTTACTGAACATCAAAAAGAAAACCCAGGCTCTCCCTATATGTCTTGAAATGATTTAGGAGAGTCAAAGTAAAAGCTACTTCAAAAGATTACTTTCTTCATTTGGGAGAGCACAGAAAGAAATGAAGCAAACAAAGCCACTAAGGGGGACGGGGCCTTTCTTGCTTTTTAAAGCATCAGATTACAGATTCTAGAAAGTGCCGCTTAAGATGTAAACAAGGCAGGGAGGAGCACACTTTCTTTTTCAAATAGGAAAAAAAGAGCTTCTTTTTAAAGGCAAACAGCTCTTTTTCTGCCTCTTTTTCATGGTGGTGACAAGGAAGAGGCTGAATGGACATCTGGGAAGTTAAGGGAAGGAAGTGGTACAATATGGCCCCCTGGTTTCTAGAAATTCTGTACTTCATCCCAGCCCCAGAAGAAAAAAATCTATATTGTTATGTGCCAACAAGTCACTTCCAGTTTCTGGTGACACTATAAATGAATGATTTCCAAAAAGTCCTATCGTTATCAGACTTGCAAACTCAAGGCCATGACTTCCTTTATAGAGTCAAACTATCATGTTCAGTGTTTTTCTTTTCCTAGTGCCTTCCTCCTCTCCCAGCATTATTGTTTCTCCAATGAATCTTGTGTACCAAAGTTTGATAGCCTCTGGTTAGTTATTTCAGTTTCTAGCATGAAAGTGAAGGAAGAAAGTGCCAAAGCAGCATTGCAATTGAACATTAAGAAGACCAAAATCATGAGTAGGGAAGAACTACCCAACTTTAATGTTGATCATGGAGAAATTGAAATAGTGAAAGATTATGTACTGCATACCTTGGTTCAATCATCACTCCAAATGAAAACTGTAGCCAAGAAGACTGAGAATTAGAAAAGGAATTAGAATAGTGAACATTAAGAAGACCAAAATCATGAGTAGGGAAGAACTACCCAACTTTAATGTTGATCATGGAGAAATTGAAATAGTGAAAGATTATGTACTGCATACCTTGGTTCAATCATCACTCCAAATGAAAACTGTAGCCAAGAAGACTGAGAATTAGAAAAGGAATTAGAATAGATTATCAAGTAGAGATGAGCACTAATTGAAAAACAAATTGCACAGTTCATCAAAAATGCATAATTTGTTAATTTCTATTCATTCATATAAATGTAAACCAGCATTCCAGGTGCCTATAGACACCAAAATCACAGAGCGGCTTCCCCTGACTCTCTTCTATAACACCTCCAAGTTTGTTAAAGACTGGGTTTTGGACATCCCAGTTATACACCCGCAAAGGTGGCTCCCCCAGGAAAGTTTCCCCCAGGCACCTAGAGATGCCAAAATTATAGAGAAGCTTCCCACGACTCTCCTCTACAATATTTCCTAGTTTGATGGATATCCTGGACTGCCAAAAAGACAAACAAATGGGTCCTAGATCAAATCAATTCTGAACTATCTCTGGAGGCAATAATGGTGAAACTCAGGCTGTTGTACTTTGGGCATATCATGAGAAGGCAAGATTCTCTGGAAAAGATAATAATTAGTTGGGAAAACCTGAGGGCAG